CCTCAGGGGGGTTGAATCCTTGTTGGAATCCTCCCTCCCCTCCCCCTGCAGAGATTTTGGCATCGGGGAAGTGCATGAAGCTGAGGTTTAAAGGATTTTTATGCTTTTCTGTGTTGGAAGGAGGGGAAAAAAGGCAGTTTGGTAGGAAAAGGGGGCAGGAAACACTGATGGGTGGATGTGGGACAGCTAAAGGGGTTTCTTGGGGGGGGGGGAAACCCAAAACTTGCCCCAAAGGGAATGTTTTTTTCCCATGGGAAATGGAGGGGGACGTAAAGCAGCATCGTCCTGAATGTGGCAAAATGTGATGCTGCTTTAATTCCCCCCCTTTTCCATCCGGGACCATGTGTTTTTGCCAAGGATGGCTGGAGCCACGTGGAGAGAAGGGGCAAACACGGGTGGTGGGATGCATCCCACAGGGAGCGATGGGATGGGATCCCTGCCCGGGACGGGTGATGGGGGGGGGAAGAAGCAGCCCTGGTGCCAGCTCTCACCTCCTGGATTTTCCCATAACGTTCCCGTTTCCGCCACTTGGCTCTTCGGTTCTGGAACCAGACCTGGGGGATGGAGGAGGGGGCTGAGCTGAGACACCTCCGGGGGGAGATGGGGCAGCCCCTGCCCTGGTCCATGCTCATCTTCCCGGCAGGAAAAGAGCCCTAATGCCATATCCCAGCATCCTGGTACACTGGAAGTGAGTGGAGGAAGCCGCCCTTGTGCACAGCCCTGCTTCAGCTCACCAGCCATATAATATATAGCTACATATATGTATGTGACCTTATAATATATGGCTATATCCGTATAATATATGGATAATACCTCTTATCCCTCTTGGAAAACCAGTGCTCCTGCTCCGTGGATGCTCCTTTTCTCTTCTTTTTGTCCTTCTGGATGCTGTTTACCCCAGGTTTTGATGCAGAATGAGGCTCTTGGAGCCCTGTGTGGTCACTTTGACCCACCTGCATGTCCCCCCTGTGCTGCTGGATGGGGCTGGGGACCGGTGCTGGATGCAGGACTGGGATGTGGGATGCAGGACCAGGATGCTCACCCCAGGGTTATAGGTAATTGCATCTAAATCCACCCCAAATCAGGGCTTGGAGTGGGTGCCTTGTCCCCAGCCCCTGCCCCAGGGGGAGGGCAGCACCCAGCACCCCATGGGTGCTCCCTGCTTGCTTCGTGTCCCGCCTGCCTTCCCTTTTCTCCCTGCCGGGTGCCCCCTCCAGCCGCCTCTTCCCACTGGGAGCCTCAAACCAGATGGAGATGCCTCTGGAAGTAGCTCCGTGGCCTGGCGCCAGGGGGGTGAGGGAGGTCCTCATCCTGCCCCGCATCCTGGGATGTGCTGAGCAGCCCCGTCCCTGGGCTGGAGGGAGCTGAACTGGGGGTTGAGGTGGGAAAGGGGTTGGGGATTGATGGATGCACAGGCTGGGATCCCATTAGGGAATGCTGGCGGGCCAGATTCCAACCCCTCGGGTGCTGCAGAGAAGGGGACAAGGGGAGAGAGCTGAGAGAGGCAACTGGCACCGGTGGGTGAAGCCAGCGCCTGGGCTGGGATTTAGCATCATTCTCCTGGGAAAACCACCTTCTAGCAGGGAAAACATCCATGCTCCTCCCTCTGGGAGCCAGTACCTGCACCCTGGCTTCGGTCAGGTCCGTCTGTAGCGCCAACTGCTCCCGGGCGTAGACGTCGGGATAATGCGTCTTCTGGAAAACCTTCTCCAGCTCCTCCAGCTGGAACGTGCTGAAGGTTGTCCTGTTCCTCCGCTTCTTGCTCGGTACCCCGTGTAGGCTGCCCAGGGGGGCTCCCATTGGACACCCCAGTTCCCCCAGGGCTTTGGGGGGCCCCCGGCAGGGTGCGGGCATCGCCTGGTACCCACCTTTGCACCCCTTCTCGCTGCCTGGCAGGGGAGAGGCACAGGATGGGGTGTTAATGGTGCTGATGAAGCCAAGACAGCCCCAACCCTCCTGCACGGTCCCCATCGCCCCAGGAGGGTGTTGAGGGACGGTTCCAGGGGAAAGGGGCCCAGGA